GAAGGCCTCGTTGTTTGCCAGGATGGCCTGCTCCTGGCCCAGGTCTTCCTTGGCCTCGGCCAGCTCGTTCGCGGTCTTGGCCAGCTCGTCCTCCTTCTGCTCCTCACCAGGAAAAAGACGCCCCAAAAAAACAACTCCGCGTTCCTGAATGAGCGTGAACCCCCCCCAAGAAGTTCCCCAAAAGGGCCCACGAGGCCCCAAGGAGGGGGAACGAGGACCGCGAAGCGCGACGCGAGAATAGCTTCGCGCTCTCGTGGGAGCCCTTGGCCACGCAGGACGCACGAGCGTAGTCTTCCCGGGGGCTCCGCGCGGACCTGCCGGGGGTCGGCGCTGGGCCCCCGCTCCCCCCGGCGCGCGGCGCGGCGCGCGCCGCGGGCGGCGCTGGAGGCGCCGGCCAGGGGGGGTGCCGCGCCGAGCCCAGAAGCTAGGGTTAGGTCGGGCCTGTCCCCCTACAGGGGGATTTTGGACGAAAGATAAAACATAGTCAAACAAATACTCAAAAGATGCCCAAAAATACAATAAAAAAACGACTATTCTTTCTACTATTTTTGAATATTCCCCCTGGAAGAGGGACACGCCCGACTTAAAGCTAGGGCGGCCCTCCGAAGGCTCATGCTTGTGCCGTTTCTGATGTCCCTCGGCGAGAGGGAGCCGCAGGGGCGTACTGGCGCGGGGGAGGGAGAGCAGCGACTCGGAATCGGCGATGCGCCACCGGTAGATCCGCGACAAGCCCCCGACAGCGAAACCGCACGTTCCGGGGCCGGGTGGTGCACCCAGGCCCCGACAAGCGACCACCGGGCGACTGGGGGTCGACTCGTCCCCTCCTGAGCCGTGCCCCCCCCTGTCGTTGCCCCTGACCCCCCTCCCTCTGCTGCCCCTGACATGACCCCCGTCGTTACCCCTGACGTTACCTGTCGTTACCCCTGACCCCCCTGTCGTTACCCCTGACCCCCCTCCCCACCCCCCCTGTCGTTACCTGTGAGGCGCCCTCCCCCCCCTGCCGTTGCCCCTGACCCCCCTCCCTGAGTTTCGGGCCATAGCTCATGGAAACCACCGCTTTCCTCGAAAACGATTGGAAAAACTCCGAAAACGTTTTTTAAATACACATATCTATACACACAAACATAGATGTATACATATAAATATACCAGTTCACACCTATACGTGTATATATAAATATGTATTTATACATGTAAATATGTATATTTGATATTTGCATATATTTAACAAAACTCAAAAACTCCCCTTGCATCCTTCCCCCCTATTCAATAGTTACCCCCGACTCGGTCCTCCATCTTCTCCCCCGCCTCGATCTCGGCGGTCTTAGCGTTGCGCAGGATCTGGAACTCCTCCGAGCGCATGGACTCCTGCTTCTGCGACTCGCCGAGATCCGCCTCCATCTCGTCCTTCGAGGACGCGGGCGGGCTGGTCACCCCAAGGGGGCCCAAATGTCCATGCTGAGGTGATCCTCCCTGTCAATTCGCCATTACTAGGGGAATCCCGTGTTCTCAACGCAACAACCAACCGCCCCAACGTTTCACGGACCCAATACGCAATACGCCTGTCGTAAGGGTGCCACAGAGATCGCGGTGAAACGGACAAGCTTCCATCCGCATCGACGCACGCCTGTATCGAGACGACGCCAGAGAGCAACAGCGAGACGGCAGCAGCAGAAGAAGGGAAGAGACCACCGGTAAGGGAATCATGCGCACAACGTCTTCTCTTCTGCTCTCTGACATGCTCGCGTAAGCGCAGCGGGTCTTGCTGACCTGACTCTTACGTTTTGGCACGAGTGTTCCCGGCACCAGACAGCAAGGCCAGAGGGAGCCCAGCAGCGCCTCGAGAAGAGACCCCTGGGTGCTGGAGGCCCCCAGAGCAGCCCGGAGAGGCCAACCCTCGGCCCCGTGCTGCTCGGCGTGTTTGAAGGAGCCCAGGGGCACACAAATCAATACACACAAATAACAGGATTCCCAATATTTTCCTATAGCTTCTGGGTTGTTGCCTTCCCCCCACTTCCCATATACTCGTGCCTGTGTGTTTCCTTCCCTCCTGAGTTTTGGCCGCCTCCCTGGACTCTGGGCGGACCCGCTCTCTGCTGCAGGTCTCGCGATCCCCCTTCGGCGTCGGCCTCCGATCGCCGTGGCTCGGGCCCGAGGACGGTCCACCTGCTTCTGTCCGTCGGCGGCGAGGCAGAGGCAGCCCGCTGCAGCGCACGGCTTTTCGGGGCAGCCGACAGGCGAATTGCCCGGCGCGCGGGAGGGAGGCAACGAGACGAGGGCGGCCGCGCGGGGGGAGGGGGGGAGGGGAAGCGCTCAAACGTGGCAGGACGATCGAACACGGATCTGGGACGAAAGGAACCCCCCCAAGGAGAGGGTCGGGACCCCCGTGGCCCGCGGACGGATCCGTTGGTGGACGCTTGGGGCCTGGACGGGCCGCGCTGCAGGCCCGGCAGCGGCCTCCGAAAAGGGCCCCCCCCCCTCCCGGAGGCCGCAGAGCGGCCCCGAGCAGGCCAGGGGCTCGGCTGGCGCTGGTCGTCCCAATACCCGCAGGCAAGAGGGAGGGAGGAAGGCGAGGGGGCGGCCGCGGAAGGGGGGGAGCCGGGCGCGGGGGCACTCTCACTCACACGCACACACACACACACACACACACACACACACACACACACGCGCGCGCGCACGCGCGCGTCCATCTTGGACGCCCCCGGCTGGAGGCCAGGGGCAGCTGAACAGGACCTCGGGTGGTCAGCTCTCTGACCCCTGGGAAGGCTAGTGCTTGAGCAGGGGGCGACCGTCCCGGCAGTCCTCTGGGCCCGCCAAGAATGTTTAAGGATGAAGTCGGCGGTGAGCGACGGGGGGAAGTGAGAAGGAGAAGGCCTTCTCAGAAGGCGACGGGACCACTCAGAAGCCCTCGCGCGTTCTGAGAAGTTTTCAGTGTCTTCGCGGAAGATTTAGGAAACTACTCAGAAGGCCAGGGGACATCCGAGCCTTCTGAGAAGGCCCGCCCCTTCTCACTTCCCCCCCTCGCTCGCCACCGAACATGGACAATGTCTTATCACAACATGGACAATGTCTTATCACGCAATTTCAGCCAAAAGTGTTCTGAGAACATGTCGCGAAAACCACAAAAGGTTCTGAGAACATTTCCTGCTGGGCCCACAGGCAAGCCAGGACGCCTCGCAACTGCTTGATATGCAGCTGGTCCCGTAAACCCCCACTGATGGACGCACGGCCGACCCTTGAGCCTGTAAAGGGGAGGAGGAGGAGGAGGAGGAGGAGGAGGAGGAGGAGCAGCAGCAGCAGCAGCAGCAGGAGGAAGAGGAGGAGGAGCAGAGGGGGGAGGAGGAGGAGGAGGAGGAGAGGAGGAGGAGGAGGAGGAGGAGGAGGAGCAGCAGGAGAGGAGGAGGAGCAGCAGCAGCAGGAGCAGGAGGAGGAGGAGGAGGAGGAGGAGGAGGACGGGGACGAGTACGAGGACGAGGAGGAGGAGGAGGAGGAGGAGGAGGAGGAGGAGGAGGAGGAGCAGGAGGAGCAGGAGGAGGAGGAGGACGAGTACGAAGACGAGGACGAGTACGAGGACGAGGAGTGAATGAATGAAATACGACTCTGGGCCCGCATCTCTCCCTGTCACTGCTATGCCGAGGCGGACTGAACAGCGTGCGGCAAGCTCGGATATGTAAAGCGTGTAAAACTCGTGGGTTTTCAAGTGAAACACACAGGCGTGTAAAATGTCTGAGAGTGCACCCGTCGGACGACTAAAAAAGTCACGTGGTTCAGAAGGGGCCCAGCGGGCCCCGACGGGCCTGTAGGCTGGGCCCCAGGGTCACGCGCACCGACGCGTAAGGCACGAACAGACCCCAGGGAGCAAGGACAGCAAGGGCGTCAGCCATATTCGCTACACGTATGGGCCAACAGGGGGGGCGGACCTCGCGGTAGCGTGAAACTGGTGAGAGGCAACAGCGATCCGTCATCAGGGGATCACATCACGCGGTCGCCATCCGATACGGAGCGCAGCGTCTTGGGGAGGAGGCCGAAATTGAAGATGAGCCAGCCCCACGCTGCGGATATGGAACGAGATGCGCACGATGGCATCCTCACCTGCTGTCTTTTGCGTCTACCGCGTTCTGCAGTATCTCCTCCATTGCGCCTGGCGGCGCCGCGCCCAGAGCCCTGCGCCCGCCGATCTCCTCTAGTGCCTTCTGCAACAGGCCGCGGACCATCAAGGGCGAAGGCAGCGGCTGCTCGTCTGATTCGGGCGGTACGCTCGGCTGCGAGACGTCCCTCATCATCAGGTGGAGTTTCCTCTTGTTCTGATCGTAGCACTTCGTGACCCGAAACAGGCGCACCATGTCGTACAGGTCGTGAGGCTGCAGCTCGCACCACACTCTGCCGTGCCAATCTTTGAGCATCGCGTGAGTCCTCTGCCCCAGCGCGAGCCCACGCTCGAGCAACTTGGTCACGAACCCATTGAAGATATGTAGGTGAGGTGGACCTAGCTGGTGGCCTTTGCCTCGGGCTCGGACTTCGTGTGAATACGTCGCCCCTGCCTCCTGCGCGGCCTCGATATCTGGCAGGTCGGCGGTCAGGAAGTACGTGTCCACTCCCGCTGCCCAGAGCTCGCGCACCATCTGGGTCGTCATGAGCGTCTGCTTCACCAGCACGTTGATGAAGTTGGCCTGCTTCTTGGTGAAGCCCATGTCCTTGATCTGCCCGAGGTGCCGATTGCGCTGCTGCTTGCTGTTGGGCCCGTTGGCCGCGGCCGCGTCGGAGGCGGAGCCTGGGTTGGGGTTGGAGCTCTTGCCGCCCTTGTCCTTCTGTGGGGGGCCGCCCTTGGCCTTGGCCTGCACGGGAGCGCCCTCTGCCTCTGCGGCGCCTGGCGGCCGCTTCTCCAGCATCCACTTGGGCTTGGGGCTCGCCATCGCCAGCCCGTCGCTCAGGTAAGAAAGGCAGGTGCCGCTCGCAAATGTGATCCTGGAGCTGAGCCAAATCAAAATACGAAGACGTGGCGCACACTGGGCAGACAAGCTTGGGGACGACCACAGGATGTAGTGCATGCGCGCTGTGAATATCACATACTCCCCGACGAAAGGCCCGACAGAGATGAGCTTTCGCGGTCTTCTGAAAAGCAAAGGAAGTACGACACGCTGGACACTGGTTCGTGATGACACATCTGGCATAGTAGGAGAAGTTGCCATGAGAGCCGCCCTGGGTGTGGGTCTGGTGCGCGACGAGAGCAGCATGGGTGAAGAAGCGGGCGCCACAAACGTTTCCATCTTCTGTAGTGCATCTGCAAACGTGCACGCAGCCACAGGGGCCCAAGAAGTCCTGAGCAGGAGGAGAGGAGGAGGAGGAGGAGGAGGAGGAGGAGGAGGAGGAGGAGGAGGAGGAGGACGGGGACGAGTACGAGTACGAGGACGAGGACGAGTACGAGGAGGAGGAGGAGGAGGAGGAGGAGGAGGAGGAGGAGGAGGAGGAGAGAGGGGGCGCGGCTCGCCACGCCTCGCCACGCTCGGGTGCGCCGGGGGCGGGGGCCACGAGGAGGGCTGGCACACCGTGGCCCGAAGCGTGCGCGCGGGCGGGTCGCGGGCTAGGGGATGTGCTCAGAGAGGGACCCGGCCCTGCGCGCAGCGACAGGGCGGAAAAGGTCGAAAAGCAGCAGGCGCGCGACGAGGCACGCCCGAGCCCCCAGAGACCGCTTCAACACACACACACACACACACACACACACACACACACACACACACACACACGCACGCACGCACGCACGCACGCACGCACGCACGCACGCACGCACGCACGCACGCACGCACACACACACACACACACACACACACACACACACACACGCAAACACACACACACACACACACACACACACACTTACACACACTTACATACATACATACATATACACACACACGCACACACACATACGCACATGCACACGCGCACGCACACCCACACGTACACGCGCACACGCACACACGCGCACAAGCGCGCACACGCGGCAGAGGCAATCCGCACGCGCGTCTGTGCGAGACCTGGACACGGAGTCGCGAATCAAACAGCAGGCAAGAGGGAGGGAGGAAGGCGAGGGGGCGGCCGCGAGATGTGGCAGCGGGGCGCAGGAGCACTCACACACACACACTTGTTTTGCGTCGGCGGCTGGGCAGAGGTTGCTGCTCCAGCGATCGGACATCAGTGGGGCGCGCTAGATGCAAATTGGGCGGCAATGCGCGGGAGGAGAGGAGGAGCCCCCCGGCGCAACGGGAAGAGAGGAGGCCGAGCCCGCCTCAGGCAAGGCCCGGCTGCGGCGGAGCGGACGCCGGGGGGGGGGGGGGAGCCAGTCGCGGCGCCGGGCAGCAGCTGGGGGGGGGGGGAGCAGCCTGACAGCGGCCACACACACACACACACGCGCACCCTGGCCCTCACGCCCATCTTGGACGCTCCCAGCTGGAGGCCAGGGGCAGCCGGGCTGGACCTGGGGGGGGCGCTAGAAGCCAGCCGCACACGGGTCGAGGGTCTCGACCGCACCTTGCGACAGTTTTTAAGTGGCCTCCGGAAGGGGGCCCTGCTCAACTGTTTGGCTCCTGAACCCCCAGGGCCCTTACAGTCGCTCGTCAGGGATGCAGGGCGAGGATGCGCGGCCCTCGGCCTTCCAGAGGGCAGCAGCTTGCCAGGGAATTGGTTGGCGGGGGATGGGAAAGGAGGGCAAGGACGCAGGGCATCCTTGGCAAAGCACATTGCCCTCACTGGCCCAGCCGAGGGTTGCCGCTCGACCAAGGTCCTTGAGCTGCTTCAGGATGCCAACGATCTCTCCGCTCTGGGCCGTGTAAGACGGGTAGTAGCTCTGCTCGTGGTGCGACTGCACGAAAGCGGAGCCGGCCTTGAGCGCCCTCCGGACGACGGCGGCCTCGTCCGCACTCCAGCCTCCTGTGGCCTGGACCCCGTCGGCAGCGAGGGTGTCCTGGGAGGAAGGAGGGACGGAGCGAGGGAGGGGGGAGGGAGGGGGGAGCGTGGGGGGGAGGAGGGAGCGACAGGCGAGGAGGGATACGCTTGACATCCATATCCCCTGACGACGGCAGGCTTTACTCCTCATCAGGAGGTGGCGGGAGGGGGTCTGCCCGAACTCCCAAGAGCTTTGGATGCTTTCCCTGCTGTATCCCCCGCCACTTGTCAAGCCGAGTCGCGAAGAGGGAGGGGGGAGGGGCGGATGGAGGTCGTCGTCGCCGAACGCCAGCTGGGCAAGAATGGAGGATAGATGAGGGAAGAGGGGGCATTGAGGAGGGCGGGGGCTCCTCCTCCTCCTCCTCCTCCTCCTCCTCCTCCTCCTCCTCCTCCTCCTCCTCCTCCTCCTCTTCCTCCTCCTCCCCGTGACTCCTCCCCGTGACTCCTCCCGCACTCCCCCCCACCCTCATCCTCAACATCCTGCTCCTCATCCTCATCCTCCCTCCTCCGCATACCTCCTCCGCTTCCCAAGGCGACGACGGGGAGGACGAAACGGAGG